CTAACGGACCCCAGCTCATCCATTTGTTTTTTTTGCAGATGATTTGCTACTTTTTGCAGAGGCGGAGTCGAGATAAATTCAGACAATCAAGCAGTGTCTAGATGAGTTCTGCTCCAGCTCCGGCCATCAGGTCAACTATACAAAATCCATGATGTATGTCTCCCCCAATATCAAATGAGACAAGGCTTCTATGTTGAGCAGGAGAGCAGGCATCCCTCTCCAAGCGGAGCTAGGCCGGTACCTCGGATTCAGGCTATACATGGGAGGGTGACTAAGGGGAGATACCATAGTTTGCTTCTAAGAATTCATAGGAAGCTTGCCCCCTCTAAAGCGAGATATTTATCTTTGGTTGCCCGGCTCACGGTGGCAAGATCGGTTACTGCAGCGCTTCCCACCTACCACATGGACACAAAGCTCGTACCGCGAGGAGTCTGCGATAGCATTGACGGGATGAATGAAGATTTTGTCTAGGGTGTAGAGGAGAACAAGAAAAAGATGCATCTGGTGGCGTGGGATATGATGATCCTTCCTAGGACTCCGGGAGGAGCGAGTCTTTGTTCCATTCGACAAGCGAATCTTTCCATGCTCGCTAAACGAGGGTGGAGGCTGATCAAAGAAAAGGACATTTTATGGTCTGAACTTATGTGTGACAAGTATGGGAAGGCAAAGGAGGATCTCGATCTTATCAGGCCATTAAGGGAAGTTCATTCACCTAGACTAGCTTCTCGAAAGCGGCCAACCTACTGAGGAAGGGTTGCGCTTGGAACATTAAGAACGGACATCACACTAAGTTCTGGTTGGATGTTTGGGTTTTGCAGGTACCTCTGAAAGAAGTGGTCGTGGGCACTATCCTGGAGCCTTTGGTGGAAGCGAGGGTGGCCAATTTCGTTACGGAGGAAGGCTATTGGCGGATAGACCTCTTTGTAGAGCTACTACCTCAAGAAATGGTAGTGAGGATCCTAAGCATTGATGCGGATAAGCTGTCGCCAGAGGAAGACACCTTATTTCGGTTCGTTGCTGCAGATGGGAAGTTCTCAGTGCGAACTGCTTATTCTCTTCTTAATCAACAGGTGGCAGACCTAGATGAGAAATATTGGAAGCTAATCTGGAGGTTGCCAGTACAGGAACGGGTTAGAAGCTTCATGTTGTTGATTCTCTTGGATAAGATAACTACCAAATCGCTGTTGTTTCATAGGAAGGTGGCAGAAATCCCTTTTGCCCAAGATGCCAAGGCTGCCCGGAGACTTCCCTCCACGTTCTCTACGATTGCCCCCCGACGCGATTCTTCTGGACTAAAGGTGTTCCTGGGCAGCAACAACAACGTTTTTTCAGTGCTGATTATGGGGACTGGTTGCGGCACAATCTATCCAGCGAGTTTGTTATGGATTCAGGTATGAGTTGGGCGCCTTTTTAGCATTGCAGCTTGGTTGATCTGGAAGAATCGTTCCACGTCGTGCTTCCATGGGTTTGGGGCTGCCCTTACCCCTCCTACGCTGGCACATTCGATTTAGGCAAAGAGTAAATTGTGGCACGAGGCTTGGCTATCGCCCTCCATCTGCAACTTGAGAATATTTAGGCGCCTTCGCGAGTGAATGCGTAGATAGGCTGGGCTCCTCCTCCCGAGGGGTGGCTGACCCTTAACGTGGATGGCGCTTCAAATGGTAACCCCGGGCCGGCAGGAGATGGAGGCTCTCTTCGAGATAGTACCGGAAGCTAGAAGGCCGGATTTGTAGCCAACATAGGCTCGGCTATTGCTGCTCTGGCAGAACTCTGGGCTGTTTTTTATGGGGTAAAGATGGCTTGAAAGAGTGGATGTCAGGCCATTAGAGTTGAGTTCGAATCCCAGATGGCGGTGCATCTTATTGACAATAGAAAAGACCCAGTTCACCCGCACGCGACTCTATTATCTGCAATTCGCAGAAAGCTAGGCCAAGATTGGCTAGTTAGCATCACCACATATATTGCGAAAGGAATAGAGTCGCAGACTGGCTTTCGAAGCATAGTCTCGTCTATCTCTACGGTATGTATGAGCTTGCTAATCCGCCGCCGGGTCAAGTCCCTCCTCTTAGAGATGATGCCATGGGTACTACCTTTGAGAGGCAGATAGTTGATCGATCATCGTCTCTTTCCTCCTCTTCCTCCCCCCTATGTAACTTTCTGCTTTCTTGACTGTCAGGTCTCCTTTTACGCAAAAAAATAAAATAAAATTATATCCCATATATGTATATATATATCATGGTTGTTAAACCACTGGCATGTCGTCCGGTTATACCAGGTTCAAACGGTGTCGGTCACAAAACGGGCTGGAATACCACCGGTATTAGGTGATGGTCAATTTCAATCATAACGTCAATTCCGGTCACAACCCAAAATACCGGTGGTCCAACCAGAATTATGGGGTTCTGGTACCTGACCATTTGACGCCTCATTTTTCAATTTTCATTCTCACTCGACCCTCCCCTTCCTCTCCGCCTTTTCCTCTTCCTCCTTGCCAACCCTAGGAAAAATCAATTTCATTCAACGGCTTGACAGATTGGCGGCGACTTTAGCTCCATCACACGCCGGTGGCTGCTCGCGGGCTTGGATATGAGGTGGCATGCTTCCTCGCTGAGGATGGATAGAAAGGCGTTGATGGGGTGGGCGGAGAAGATCTCCACGTCGTCGACACGACCAAGGTCACGCCAGAGGTCGTCATTGGTGTACGCAAGCTTACTAAGGAGGCAGATGAGACTATGACGTTGAGGTGGGTTCCAAGGCGGAGGGAGAAGATTGGGTAGTGGTCTTGGGCGAGGGCATGAAGTTTAGGGATGGCAACTTTGCCCATACCCATGGGTTTCTTACTATCCAACCCAATTGGGTTGGGTATGAAATCCAAATAGATGGATATGGGTAGAGTATGATGGGTTTGTACCCATACCCATTTACTTTGGGTTGAGTTGGGTTTATATCAAATGGATTTGGGTTTGTACCCATGCCCAAATACAAATTACAGTTTGGTACCCAAACTTAATAGATATGCATATTTAGTACCTAAATTTAAAATTTTTTGCATATAAGTCCTCAAAATATCGATGGAAAATTACGTTTTGGTACCTAAATTTTTTTGGTCTTACATTTTGGTACCTAAACTTTTCAAGTTTTACAAATAGGTCCAATTTTTGCATGTGTAGTTAAAACACCCTCAAGTAAATGGATATCCATATCCAACCCATACCTATTTAGATTATGGAAGTAATATTCATACCTTACCCAAACCCATCTATAAGCCCCCAAATCCATATGCACTTCATCCATACCCAACCCATTATCAATGGGTCTACTTGGGTTTGGGTATAATTACCCATGGGTGGGTAATTTGCCATCCCTAATGAAGTTGCGTTGGATTAGTGGTTTCAAGAGGCTGACGGGGCCGAGGATCAGGAGCGTCGATGGTGCTTGGAGGATGTTTCTGACAGAGGAAGCGGCCGCATGTTATGGATTTAAGTATTGCCAATTTTGCAGCTGGAAGCGCGGTTGATGAGTCTAAAGGTCAGGAATTGGGATGTTCTGCAGGTGCTGTTAAAGGGAATTCTATTATTGAGGTTTATGACAAGGATAGGAAGAAGGGAGGAGCAGATGGAATGGATATAACTTTTTTGTTGATCTGGAAAAAGTAACCTGCTATTGACAATTGATTCTGCTTATCCTATTAGTGCTGCATAAACTTCAATTTCTTGGCCATTTGTGTTAGGATTCTGCCTGTTGGGAGAATTACGATGTTATGATTAATGATTTTTCAGTTTTTTCTATACATATTTGTTAAAACCGGTATAAACTGGCGTATACCGGTATGTATCACGGTTGAACCATTTCACTTGTAAAACTGACATACCGGCATAAACCGGTTTGACAACCTTGATATATATATATATAGATAAAGGGTAAATGCCACATTTGGTCATTGAGATTATGAAATCGTATCATGTTTAGTCACTAGAAAATTTTAATATCAATTTTGGTAGCTCGAATTACTCCTGTCAGAAACATCCTCCAAGCACCATCGGTTTTACGCTTCCAGGTCACCAAAACGCTTTCGTTTCTATGTAAAATCTTTAGTGTATAAAATCATACTAAATTGCGCTTTAAAACTTAAAAACTTACGTTTTTACGCTTCTAGTTCACTAAAACGCTTTACGTTTTTACGCTTTTAATTCACTGAATGGGTCTTCTTTTCATGAAATTAATTATAAAAAGTAAATTTTAAAAATAAGGCTGACCCAACTTAAATGGGATATGATAGCTTCTTTATGTTCTAACATTCTTGCCAATACATTAAATTACCGACAATATGATACGTTTAAGATTAAAAGATACATACCAGATACTTGGATGCATTATGAACTTCAATAAAGTAATCTAATTTACTATCTAGGCTCTTCTCAAATTCATTAGCATGGAGGGGAAGGTGACTTTTTTATAAGATTTATATTTATGAACTTATTATTAAGAGGCTATAAGTTGCTCTACTTTAGACATGAATTGTAAGTGTTTATTAACTTATCTGAATTTTGTGCACTCATATTTTTCATAGTATATGTCGTACTTAACATATTTTTAGTTCTTTTACAGTATGCGTAAAAAACTTACGCTTTTACGCTTTAATTCTACACTTTACGATTTTACCTCTTTTTCGCTTCTAGGTAGAATCGCGCTTTTGACTGCATTGGAAACAGGTCACATTTAGTCACTCTCTCATTAGTTTCCGTCCAACTCTATTAATAGAGTTGGACGGAAACTAACGAGATAGTGACTAAATGTGACATGTTTCAGTAATTCGAGTGACTGGAGTTGGATGGAAGCTACAGGAGAGTGACCAAACATGACCTGTTTTAGTAATTCGAGTGACCAAAATTGATATTAAATTTTTCTAGTGACTAAACATGTCACGATTTAATAAAGTTAGCGAATAGCGACCAGGAATTTACCCTATAGATAAACAAAAACAAACAAAAACAAAAATCGAAATAGTTACGAGCTATTTACAATCTTCACCTTCTTCCATTTTCTTCCTTCTCACGAGCCTGCTACATCGCTGAAGTTTTTCTGCGCATCTTCTCCTTCCCACCAAGCGAACGGTAGCAATCGGGCCTCAGCGGAATATGGCGGCCTCTCTCCAAAGAATTTGTGGCGGCGGCTGCCGCACCATTCGCCTAACTCTCTCCCCGCTCTCCCGACAGTTTTCATCGTCAGCTTCCGATGCCCTGGTGGAGACGAAGCCCGGCGAGATCGGCATGGTCTCCGGTATTCCTCATGAGCAGCTTCGCCGGAGGGTATCCCATTTGCCGCCATCTATTTTCAGTTAATTTTGTTCGTAACCCACTGGGATAACCAATTTGATTCCGACGTCAATTTTGCTTTAGGGATTTTGAGAAATGTCTCGAGGTTTTTTGCGTGCTTGATAATTGCTCGGTGGTATGTTGTTTAGGGCGTCGAAAGCTGTGATCCCTTTGATCTGGCTGAACTCGCCCATCTTAATTGGTTGTCTCGCGGTGGTGTGATAGTTTAACGATGTGTAACAGATGTTGCAATGTTATAATGGGTGATTGTGATTAGTAGCAAACCTCGCTGAATTTACGAATTGCAGCTGCGTCAAGCGGAATTAATTTCCGATAGGATCCTGAGAGTTGTAGCTAATAGACTTATGAAAAGTTCCTGCATTGCGTCTCTTGATGCCCTGTTTGGTACTGAAAGCAAACTTCAAGCCCAAACGCTTGATTATATGTTTGTTGTACTGTTTGTATTGATCAAGAGTTTTCTTTCTTCTCTCTTGTTTATTACAAATCGTTCATCTTAGCTAACTGCAGTAGTTCCAGATGCTTGTTTAAGACCTTTTTTTTCTTCTTCATTTCTTTATGAAAAGCCTATATTGAGTTCTTAGAGCTGCTTGCAGTTCCTTCCGTTTGAGTGGATGCTTTTGTTACGCTCTCTTACATTCTTAACTAATGCACCGTTTTGGCGATTGGCATGCATTATAGGTTGTAATTTACTCCCCTGCGAGAACTGCAACTCAGCAAGGATCCGGGAAACTTGGGAAGTGGAAAATTAACTTTGTGTCTACACAGAAGTACGTCTTAATCTATATACTTGCTGTCACAATATTCAAAGTTATGTTAGTTATATAGGGTTTCTGTTGTGGTTCTTTTCTTTTTCATTTTTCCGTTCTCAAGTTGGATTGGTAGGTAAAACTAATGTTTTGCTATGCATTTTTTGCAAACTAGAAGATTTGGCTAGGCAATATGAATAATTGTGTTATGATTCGATTGCTCTATTTTCTCATTGTTGGTTATTCCTTTCCAGTTTTTACAAACTCTTCTGAAGTTCTTGTAATGCTGCTGACATAGCGTCTCAACTTTTTTCCTTTTCTGTTTCCTTGTCCATATCAGCGAAAAAGTGAACGTTATTTGTGCAAATGAGAGCTATGAAATAGTTTTCCCAGTTCAATTGTGCAATGACTTGAATTAAATTTCCTTCATTTTACTTGTACTACCCTCCTCCAGGGTTGCATTTAGTGACTATGTTTCTCATGGAAATGACCACTAACCTTTGGCAGCTCATCTAGTTTCTAACTTTTGTTTGAAGGTGGGAGAACCCATTGATGGGTTGGACATCCACAGGTGACCCATATGCCAATGTTGGGGATTCTGCACTTAGCTTTGAAAGCGAAGCTGCTGCTAAGGATTTTGCTGCAAGACACGGCTGGGACTACGTGGTAGGTTCTATTTCTGCTGTCATTGTAGGATTCACAAGAGAAGATTGTTTTTCTAGGATTCTCTTCTCCTAGTTTTATCACTTAACAGTTCAAGGTTCTAAGCGAGTGCTTTCTTATGGCACTGCATAATCATCTACCACTATTCAGTGAATATAAAGCATTTGAAGTTCCTCCAGAATTTGAAACACCATAAGTTCTTGCCTTTTGTTTTTGTTTTTAAAGTTCTTTCCTTTTATTCATTCTTCCATATGGTAAAACTTCAAAGTTTATTATGCAATGCTCATTGTCTTTCATATAACCTTTGTTAACTCTTTGATCATGTTTATCCTCCGTACTTTGCTCACTTTTCCTAATTATTTTCTGATTTTTGAAACATCCAGAGTTAAGTGGGGTAACTATTTAGGTTCAGCAGTGTAATTTATGCCCTATAATTTTTATATCTATCTTTCCTGTTAGCTGTTTATACAATTTAAAGTATATGATTGGCTGTGGGTATATTTAGTTTTCTTGTTATATAAATTGCCGGTTTTGACCTCTAATTTCTTTGGCTTATTGTCAGGTAAAAAAGTACCAAACTCCACTTCTGAAGGTTTGTGATTTGCTTCTATGTGGTGCTTCTTTGAGTGATTAGAGTCTAGTCTTTCCAGCTCAATATAGTGCCTTGGCTGACTTAAGAGTTAGCAAGTAACAACTAACAACTATGGTAGATGCTAACTGCATTTAGTTTGTAGGGTCTAATGCTTGTTAATAAGCTGCAACATAGAATCTCATTGAATTGACCAACTTTATTGTTGTCTAATGACTAATAAGCCTCTTTTACTCCTCGGGTTCTGAACCTTTCTCGAGGGCACATTATAATCTATACAGATTAGGGTGTCAGGTCATGTTAACAAAGTATAGTGTAACCCTCATCCTGTAGAGTCCTTTAAGTGATGGGGAACTAAAAGCAGTGTCTTCCACCTTGTTGGCCAAGTCTTTGCATGAATGGTGATTCCTATACAAACGATTCTTGTACTTTCATCCATTGGCTCGTCCAAATTAAAATGCATGATTTTAACATTGTTTGAGCTTTTTTTATTTCACTTTCAGCCGAAGTCGTACGCAGACAACTTCAAGTTCAAGGGCTTGCCAGAAGCTGAGGAAAAATAATTCTGGTTATCAGCTGCCGCTGGTATGGTTTCCTTGTAGGGTAAAAGTTGCACAGATCTGAGGGTCTTTACCCTTTCCGCAGAGTGCAAGATTTTCAGCAATGTGGCAACGCTGTATTTTGCTGCAGATTTCTCTGGTTACACTAATAATTCAACGACTCTCTATTTATATTCTCGATCTCGCATTTGTACAAGTTCAGTGGCCTTTATTGAGATGTCAATGATGTAAGAAAGCACCGCAATAAGAGCACCGTCGATCGAACCTGAAATTCACCCTTTCATTTCCATCAGTTAATCAATGAGAGTTATCAAGTGTCTCTTGTGATATTGCCATATTGGCATTACTTAATGGAGGCATTATTAATGGTGTCTCTCTGTCTTGCACTGACTGGATCTGATATTCGAGTTTGTGAAAGCCAGCATTTGTTTCTTTATAACAATATAGCGGTAACATACTAATCTCTTCAAATTTAGTGTATTTAGTTTTTTTTTTAGTGTTGCTGAGAACTATTTGATTAATCAACTATTTAGTATCAATTACAATATGGAAACAGGACTATATTGGTATCACGAATTCACGATACCAAGTACCGAATTCCTGAATACAAAATAGTGCCATAAAATCAACTTCAATCATGATTCAAAACAAATTTGGTATTCCAATCCCAAATATTTTGGTACAGAATTGGTATTCTAGAATACCTATTTAATCATCTTTGTAATTAATAATTAAATATGTACATAAATAATGATTCAAATGCTTCCAATCCTGAACATTTTTATATGGTATAGGCTAATAGGTTTAATTTTGTGATTTAACACCTTGGCAATAGGAAGTTGAGGTGAGAAAAGTCTAATAAAAACTAATCAAAGCCCCATCAAATGGACTCAATCAAAGTCTAAGTCTAAAGAATTTATCACTGGTGTCCATTTAGGACTACGAGACTAAGTAAAGAGAGTTTGCCTAAAGCTAAGGCATGGACAAATAGAAAGAATGAACTGATGATATCTCAATTTATTGCCCTTGGTAATTTTTGATTTGATGGAGTGGAGGTTGAGAAACCACTAATGAGGTGTTCGTGTTTGGTGTTAAAAATAACAATAGATCGAGTAAGAAATGAGAGTGACCTAAAATAATTAATTAATTGAAATTTAACGAGCCAACTATGGTTACGTAAATGAAATTTTAGATGATCATGGACTTGCACCTAGTACAATTGGTGTCAACAACTTTTAGTTTATAATTTCTTATGAACTAAGTTGTGGGTGGCATTTGTTTACACAAAAAATATGGTGAATTGTATCATCCCAATCCTATGGTGGATGATATCATCCAAACCCCAAAGTGGATGATACCATTCTATATAATGGGCACCATCCAACCTTTTAGTTTATGGTGACCATCTCACTTCATGGATATCGTTCAACTTCTAAGTGGATGTTACTATCCCATATAGTGAACATCATCTAACCACTTGGTGGATGGTTACCATCGCACATCATGGATACCATCCAGCCTCTAAGTAGATGGTACCATCACATATAGTGGACACCATCCAACTCCAAAGTGGATGGTCCAGTGTAATGGTTACCATCCAATCTAACACGACGACATGGTGGATGACTATTATAACATGACAACGTATGCAAAAATTTACGACGACATCTGACTCGCGTAGAGGCTAAGCGGAGCAACTTTTGTGGAGGAGAGAGAGAGAGCAGTTGGACGACTGTGGCCACCAAAACTTAAAGCAACCATCTGAAGCAAAAAGGACAATCACAACCCAACACATGGACAACTTGTCTCAACTATCCTTTTTTCCTTTTTCTTTATAGTTTGCGGAGCTCTCCCTCATGAAAGATCCTCCATAGAAGTATTCTTAGTTGTAGTCGCGGAGGTCTCAAGGAATCTTCTTAGAAGTAGTGTAAGGTAACGTAGATTTCCCATACACAAGCACCCTCGTTCAAACAGTGTTTGAAGAGGTGTGGACCGTAGTAAAAATCGCCACCTTCAAACAAGTCAAGCGCAACCCATCAACCTTATTATCCATCATTAACACTGCAACTGCGGTTTACGCCCGTTTTGGCTCTCTCCCCTACCTCCAGATACAATATTGGTAGCGGTAGTGGGATCTCTCCCCCCGTCCCACATTTGACACCATTATTGCTCAGTCAGGATTAGGTTTGAAGAAGAGGAAGGATGGGAGGAAGGGTTCACCCTGCGAAGCTTACGTCTTCCGTTCCTTTTCCCGGCGACGAGGATTATGATTTGTTGAAGTTAAAATGGAGAAACATAGGGGGAGAGAAACGGTAGAATGGAGAAGGGGGAATGGGGCTCATGAGTCGTGACCTTTCTTGTTTATTTATTTTTATTTTAGCCTTTTCCTAGGTAAATTATTGATTAAAAGGAATTTTTATTTAAGTTGGTGGTAAAAAAACTATAAGAAATTATCAAAAAATTATGACATATCGATGATGTGGCTGACAGGTTGGCACAAACTCAAAACCGAGTTGATTGTCGTCAGTTGACACTTGACCATAAGTCTAACGATCAACAGAATATCTAAGGACATTATTGACATCCCACCCTAAAACTTTGGAACATAGTTGTCTCATCCAAAACATAAGGATACAATTGGCAGAAACCTTAAACTACGGGGCCTTTATTGGTATTTTGGCCTAATTTTTACGACCATCCTTAAATAACTGAATCGCTATTCGTCGCCCTAAAATTTAAATTTTATCGCCCTAAAATGCATCAAATTGACACTTTTACCCTCTGACCTCAATTTCTAATCAAAAACTTAATCAAACAATTTCATACCCTGCCCTGCCGCCGCCGAGCTCCACTGTCCTCCGGGCGCTGTTGGCGCTGTCGGATTCTTCTCCCCGACAATTGCCCACCTTAACCCGACCGCAGCCGGTGCTCTGCTTCTAGCCGGAGGAGGAAGAAGACAGAGAAAAAGGAGGCCGCCTCCCACCTCCTGCTGCCGCTGGATTCTTCACTCCGACCCACAACCCTCCTTTTGCCAAGAGTTGGTAGAAACCTTCTCTCCAACAACATAATCCCATTCCCAGTGAGAAACGCCTTGAATTAACTTAATTTTCTTTCTTCTTAGATTACTTCATGAGGTTTAGAGTTAGAGTTTCCAATTGAAATAAACTGAACACAATCCATACAATTTTTCAGAAAGAATTCCAAACTGACCCCTTAAGAATTGAAACGACGAGCAACAATTCGTTCCAGCAAAATCAGCCATACATGTAAAGCCGAGGGATCGTGATTTCTAGAAAGAAAGCCGTCGAAGAACATTCTAGGGAGAAATCTATCACCATCCCACTCAATAATACCGGCAACCAGGTATTACAAATATTAAACTAAGGATATTTGAGTCATTTCGAAAAATTTAGGGCGACGAATAAGGTATTTTAGGGCGACGAATAGCAATGCCCAATATTCTTGAAAAGTCAGAGATAGTTTCAAAACTTAAATATTAGTCTATTTTACATCGGAAACTTCCAAATCACGTTTGTCTCTCGTTTAAGCTCGAATTCGATTCTGTGAGCAATTGGATGCTCCTAGTGATGAGCTTTTGAATTAGCCCTCATACCCCGACCTCCAGAATATCCACTCCCAGTCTTCCCCTGAAACCTACCAACGATGTTGTTTTTTGGCCCTTATCTCACTGACTATACAAGTGCTATGACGAATTACGGACACTGTTGTCGGAGGTGGCCAGACTGGCCACACTAAAAGCATACTATCCCTCCCCAGGGTGGATTGCAACATAGCCCTAGGTACATCCTCCCACAAGTCGGGCAAGGTGTGGTGTTGAACTTGCCACCATCGGGGCAGTGGAAAATTGTGGCATCCTGCACAGCCGCTGGCTGAATGCTCCCAAATGGAACGGCTGGGTTTGAGCCTTCCTCTTATGTCGTCTACATATGATACCCTATTGGCCCTTTCCGAGTTTTTCCCTCCTAAGGGCATCGTGTTTGATGTAGGTAATGGCTGCTACACATACCATCGGTGGAAGCTCCCTCCTGAATTGTGTATCTGAGGTTCCGAAGAATTCTTGGCCAACTTCTTATCTCGCTCCGTCTCAATGTCACACTCCGCCATCTGAAAGAACTTCATGTAATAACTAATATGTCAAAACCGACATACCTCCTTCCTCGAGGTCATCAAATTCGCTTTGTTTGTGGTACAATCATGCAGGAGGAAAGAAATTAGCCCGGAACTGTTAGGAGGGAAAATCTGCCCCTCTGGTTGTCTTCCCACCAACTCAGGGCACGACCCTTGAACAACATTGTCATTGCCTGCACTCTCTGCTCCTCATCATACTCCCCATAATCAAGTTGCACCATCGACTTCTTCAGCGAGCCATCATTCTCTTGGGAATCCTTGGTGTCCCCTCTAAACTCACGAAGCACATACTTCGAAACTGTCAAAAATATACATCAGGATAAACACAAACAACTCCTAGCTTGAGTGTTTGCTCAAGTTCTGATTCCAAGTCAAGCCGCAGGCCAAATGCCAATAGAGATTTGAGGCTTACTGCACGTCTACACAAGCAATAAGTCACGACTTGGATTAGCTATTTATTGCCAGCTGATTGGCCTGGTAGTGAGCGTTATTCCACTTGTATCAGGAAGCAACTTCTTCATGTAGTATTTTGAGTTACGAGACAAATTGATCTTCTTCCTTCTTTGTTCGGGAATCAGGTCAATTGAACATTCAGAGAACCCACGTCTCTTGAACCTGCAAACAAACATAAAACCAACCATACACAGGATTCATGGAATAATAATGGCAGCTCTGATTCAAACAAAAGAAGACAAAGGCAACTATCATAGAGTTTTCGCAACAAATGATAGATAGATAACATACCAATCTGCAGTCCGGGTAGTCAGGAGGAACAGTGTGTCCAAACCCAGTGAGGATGCCTTCTTCTCCATATAATCTGTAGAAGAAAGGCCTGATTCAGTCCCATTTAGGACAAGAGTTCATGGGCTCATAGCAAAAACATTACATACCTAACAATTTGTCTCCTTGCCCTTGCCCACGGCAATCAGAAGAAACTGCAATAGCTGCCACCTCTGCACATTTATCCTCAAAGAAAGGGAAAAGAGCAGCGCAAGCAATGATTTGACCTTCTCTTTCCACCACATAATACGAATCTAACGTTTTAAGCAGCTGCAAAGCAGAAATAGAGATCAATTTAAGCAGTCAATTCTGGATCAAATCAAATGAAAAGGCATTATCTAGGAAGTATCTAGCAGTTCAACGCAGTGTAAAAGTGCAGCACAAAAGAGAACAACCTCTTCATCAGTTCTTCGGACCAACACTCCCGCTTCTTGTAAAGGTTGTATGATCTGCTTTATTCCAGCAAGGTCATTCGCCCTAGCCATTCGGGTTCCTTCATATAGGTCACTGTGATGGGAGACATCAGATTGCACATAAGTGAATCAGCACATAGAAAGTTTACTTACATGGCCATGTATATCAATCAAGTGGAATAACATAACAATAATTTCCCTGGTCTACTGCACGTACACTTAACGTATTTACAAATGCAATAAGCAAGTAGGCAAACAAAGAATCAACAACAGCATTTATGAATATGAGATATTATGGAATGAAGTTGCAGACGGCCACATACCTAGCCACCATAGTTCCCATCCCATCTCTTTTAAAGAGTTCTAACAGTAAAACCCCGCCGATTGTACCATCTAGCAGATGAACTCTTTGGACACCACCCTGAAAGGAAGATAAACCAGAGGGTGTGACACTTCAGATTGAACTAGAACAGCAGAGCAGATTTTGGGATTGCGCAATCAGAAAAATCATTTGATAGATAAATCCGAATATCACATGCATGTCTATGACCTAAGCAAATAAACCAAGACTTTTAATCTACATTTCCAAACCTTTCATTTCAGAAACACAAAATCAGGCATTAGAAGGAAGAAAAATGTTCATACAACGATGTAACTGTACTCGATCTTCCATTGTTTCATCAAATACTAATTTAATTACAGATTTTGTGGACCGAAATTTAACCTCCTTTGCACCGCACCATCCTGGCTCACTAGTACAAACAAAAAATAAATTTAGCATCCAATACCAAAGACATAATTGTGGGAGAAATTCCAAAAAAGAATAGCATACTATTGCTAACAAATTGCTACTCCGTAAAAGAACAACGTCTAACAAATTTACTAATTACAAAAGATGAAAACAACACCTGGATAAACGAAGATTGGTATGGTATCCACTTTCAAGCACACTTGGGTTGGAACAAACTAAGATTCAAGGTCAGGCGCAAAAGACAAAGCAGACCCAGTAAACATGAACATATCCATCATCAACTTTCTTTGTCAACTTACTTTGCAAACAAAAGCTGCTGCAGCCAATTCCGAGAAATAACCGTGAGATCGACTAAGTCTTTCCTTACCACCAATGGCAAAACCTTGTTCGCCTGACCACAATCCACCTCCACTGTCAAAACCAACACCATTGTGAAATGCTGCATTGTGTTTAGTGTTGACAGCTGTCCCATTCTGTGAGGAAGGAACTATGGAAATAGAATCTGCGTCTTTGACAGAATAAGAAGGGTCCTCCTCTGCAACAGCCTTCACGTAATGAGCGGCTACCTCACTTTGCTTAGCCCGCTCACGAATCAAAGTGTCTGCTTCCTCAAGAGTTAGGAAACTAATGAGGTGCCCATTATCATCAAGAATAGGACCATCCATGATGCAAATAAGTTTGTCTGCACCAATTGCTAAGGCACAAGCTGTCGCAACTTCATATGAGCTGAAAACGTAAAGAAAGATAAACAGCTGTTTACGATACGATTCGGTAAATATCATTGTAGCATCACACAAGAGAAACTCATGCAGTATCATTGCATATCCGAGAAATATTACAAATTGGACTAAGTATTTCCCTGAGCGAAGACAAAAAATTTCTGCACAGTTAATTCCTAGTTGTGGAGATGAATCATCATTCAAGAGTATATAGAAAAGGAGGTGTTCAACATACTTGCAATTCAAAACTTCACCAGAGCTTGAATAGCCCAAGTTGCTTAGCACAACAATGCAACCACTGTCAAGCCTCTCTATCACACGGTCAACATCTAATTTCTTCACTTCACCTGTTGCCCCAAAGTCAACACCTCCAACAACTCCTCTTCTCTACAAAGGGACACCATCAAAGAATTCAGATGAAGGCATGACCAGTGTATCTAATGGCCAAATAGAAGCGGAAGCAATAGGAAGAAACAACAGTTCTCCTCTTAAAGTGCCAATCGCTGTGTGTTGAAACTGTACCTTGGCCGCGAGAAAATTGCCACTAGCAACACTGACTCCAACGTCATGCCACCTGCTACTGTCACCATGCCTGCGCACATTGCATATGGAAGGTCCAGGAGAAAGTTTAGCCTCTATCATTACCCGAATCTTGCCAGCCGCTTCCATTGATGCAGCTAGAGCTTCTGGGTCAGTAATTCTGTAGGGCCCCACATGCTTAGGCTCAAGCCCTGCAAATAAGGAATCGTAGCTCATAAGTTGCAATCGAGTGGGAGTGTGGGACTGCGTAAGATGCATAAAGCTTGGTAAGAGAAGAGAGACCTCAACAAGTTACCTCTCTCGGCCAAAAGATTATCAATTTGAACATGAGTGCTTGGGACGATCACGAACCTAATTCCCAGGTGATGAAGGAATGCTATGTCCTGCAATAAGAGACATATGTAAGAACCCATCATTGACTGATTCTAAAAACGAGAGTAGTCTCAGTTTGGAAGAGTCAATTCGTCAATCGGCTGGTGGGCAGCAAAAAATGACTACCCAGATAGTAAAGCAACGAACTTGCCTTGAGAATTGCATCCAAGTAAGGGCTGGACACAATTTCACCAGAGATAATAACCGCAAAAGTACCGCCCCTATGCGCCCAGAGATAAGGCCAAGCTTCCCGGAACCACCGCACGAAATGCTCGTCCTCATAGGAGTTTGAATTCCCTCCTTCTTCCTCGCCGCCGGCGCTCACTATTCCCTCGCTGAACACATTCCTCTTCGTGGCCGCCGTCGCGAAATTCCCACTCTGCCTAATCGGTCCTCTGTTTCCCTCTCTGTGGTCGATCAAAGACGCAGCCACCAAAGCTCGCAGCGCCGGGCGAGGTTTTGATAAGCGGCGCAAGTCAAGCTGTGAAACGCTGCGTGGCGACAATGACGAATTAAGAAGCGATGAGTGTAGGCGGCGGCGGCGTCCGCGACGGAAAGAAGCGGAATGCGGAGTAATAGAGGCCATCGAGGGATTGTAGTGGCCCCTGGAAGGAAAAGCGAGAATTTGTGGTCGGCGGGGAACGGAAGTTCACGAGGAGGTTGGCAACTCTAACTAGTAAGAGGCCGCCATTGCCGTGAGACTTCGCTATTGCTTGGTGGCGTTCCTCTCCTCGGACCGTAAGCGTGCGGATGGAAATCCATCCGGTATAATAAAATAAAATAAAATAAAGTAGCGAATATAATACAAAATCTTTATTTACCAAAAATTTCATCAGTCTATTAATTTTTGGCAAAATACTAGAGTGGTAATCGGTTGAGTATTGGTTAATCACTAACTGATATGACGTCATATATCTTTCGTTTAAAAAATTTCATATGTAAACAACTCATTAATATTGTCACTGTTAGGGAGCAGCTGAAGGATGACTTCGTTGGAATGTTATGGTAAGCTGGATGGCTTCATTTGGGAAAGCGCCAATAAATTTAGAACAATTATAGCAGCTAATTAGAAATAAGGTAGAAGGTCCAATGTGAATTTTTAGTAAATCTTTGGTTTCTACAGAATACAGATGTATAGGATAGTTCCCAGTGTTATTAAAGCCGAGCCGAGCCGTTCGGTCCGACCGGTAAAACCACCACTCGATCACGAAATCGGCTCGGAATAATCCAAAAGCCGTTCCGATTTTATGTAGCGGTTGACGAGCGGCCGAGGTGGTTAACCGCTCGAGCCGCTCGTCCGGTTTTTGCCATTCAGCCGTTAAATTTAATTAAAAAATTACAGAAAATTGAAAATTGAAATAAACCAAAAACGTCGGGCTCTCAAACTGAATCCTTATTTCCATTTCACAATTTCGAAGGAAAGAGACGAGCTCTGATTAAGAAATGTCCACTATTTATACTGATAACGTTTATTAGGTACCGGTTCTCTAACGGTTTTTAAACGGTCTAATGCCGGTTGGACCACTAAAGTGTGAGCCGTTCGCATTACCGGGTCATGCTCCGGTTCGGTTCTGACAACATTGGTTCCTACCTTAGTTGGCATGGGTTGTTGCTAACAGTTAATTGAGTTTTTGATGAAATATAGATCTGTCATTCATAAAAAAATACGTGTTTGTTTTAATCTTATGACTGTCATATCATATGATGTTACCATTGACTCAAACTTAACTACACAATTCTCAACTATAGGCTAAGTGCAACCTATAGTCGGGTGTAGGATAGGGCAAGTGTTTTAATATCAACCTGAAACGGTCTATGTACCCCCTACTTTAATCGTTTATATATTATCTAGCAAACAATTTGTGGTGAAAGCTAATGAAACTACAAATGAACAAGCAAGCAAAGTAAGTTGTGGTGAATTTGATTTGAGAAAGTTTCACCCTGATATTGTTCCCCTAGTCTCGTATCAAGATAAAACGAATGAAACTCTAGTGTGATGAGTGTGATTATATACCGTGAGGAGGATGCAATTAGTTAGGAAATCCCAACTCCCTTTATCGACTAAGGATTGTGAGAATCAGCTATGAAATCTAGCTCTCTTAATCGATCGACTAAGTACTGCAAAAATCAATCCCTCAAAAGTTAATATGGAACGGTGAAAAGAAACCAATCATGATGACATCATGACACTAATCCTATTTTTGAGTTTTGTCCTGAATGGCCCTTGAAGGGGTTACCAAAATCGCCAAGATGTGGGCTATAAAGGGATTTCCTCCTTCTAAGTCAAATTGACCCAACTTTGAGATATGATAAACAACATCCAAGATTCATGAAAAATACATCAAACATTATATTAATCACTAACCCAACAAATATAGAGTTCACCTCTTACAATCTAACACATAGTAGACTACGGTTTCCAATATCCAAGTGAAATGGGAGACTACTCCAAAGCTAGGAAGGGAAATATAAACAAGATGAAAGAAAAACCCATGGTGAGATGATTCTCCTTCCTTTTAGTTGCTTGATTCGCCCTTTGGAGAAGAAATCTTCAACCCTCTAGCCTTGGATAAGTCCAATCCTTCTTCCTCCTTCTCTTAGCACGTCACTTTGTCTCTATCTTGAAGAAGAAGACCCAAGTCTCTCTCTAAAACTCTCCCCTTTTAGGTTTCAGGTCTCTCTCTTATATACTTTAGTTGGGCTCGTTTCACGATCAAAATTCACGCCCATGACGTCGAACAGTTGAACGTGATCTCTGTGCAAGACGTGTCGCTTTACTAATCATCTTCACAGGTTGCTGGAAAATATCACATTCTTGTGACCGTGATAAATGACTTGCCTGTGATCCATAGGAAACCTCATGGACGCTTGATAATATCGTATTTGCACATGTTTGCATCCTTGTTTCTTGATTGTTTTTGCTCGAGTTTGTGCCTTGCCTATTTTACGCTAGGTTGTGGTTGTGTGTCCCATTTGAGATCATAGGAGGTAGAAGGAGGATTTGGCACAAGTTTGGGTCGTTTGGAGATCAGTTGGCGACTTTGGAGATAAAAACAGTCGTCCATTGCCTCAAGCATGACCGTGTTTCATATGGCACGCGCCAGTGATTTTTATGTCGAGCGTTGTGACGATCAAGGAGCAAAACACGGTCATGCTTCTCTAAAGCACTGTCGTATTTCATCACCAACTCAACCGTGCTTTTTAGTGCGAGACTGGCTAGTGAAGACTGCTAAAGGGATACAAGGCACGGGCAAGCGAAGGCCAAAACACGGTCGTGTTTCTCAAGGACACGAGCATTTTTTTTACCAAATACGACCGTAGATTATCCCGTCTCCAACTTAAGTAAAACGCGGATTTGGTCAAAACACGGTCGACGATCGTGCTTTCGACCGTGTTTTGCCTAGTATCGGGGTAAATTGGCACGAGCCAAAGGAAGGGGATTCAACTTTTCGGAGCAAAACAGAGTTCTAGAGAGAGAAAGTGACAAAGAAGAAGACTTAGGAGTACTAATGGCAATAGGACGGGGTGTGGCGGGTACCTCAATACCCATGCCCCACCCCATGCTACTGTGGATCGGGGGGTAAAACCCGCGCAGGTACGGGTCGGGTCGACCCACATTTACATGTAATTTTATAAAAATAAACACAAGACTTTTGCGATAAAAAGAAGAGGAAAACACTATATAATTGAATTACAATGATAATAGAATGGATAATTGAGTCTTACCAGTTGAAAGATGACTCTAACTAGTTGAAGAAAAGTCAAGACAGGAGAAATATGTCTAGATATTGTAAGAAATTGAGATAGAATGGGCCAAGAATGGGGCGGGATGTGGCAGGGCAGGTCGGAAGTAGATACCCATGCCCCACCCCACGCTACTATGGGTCGGGTAATACCCGCCCCATCCCGGATCAGGTTGGGTAATACCAGCGGGGCGGGTTCAAATTGGCATCACTACACATGAGCTATTCAGAGTGGATTTCTCGCCATTGAAGCCTAGATTGTGTCCCAAGGAGCAAAGATTGACATCACAGAGTAGATTATACACATCATTATGAGTATGACTGCTTTGATTTCTGTTTTCACCTGTCTCCCTCTCTATGAAGTAATCCTCCTTCTCACTTGGGTATGAAGAACCCTAGTTCCATGTGTTAGGGATCTTGCTTGTAATGACTTTTGGATGTTATACTAGGTGATTTTAATCTATTAAGGTATGTTTATTGAGTCAATTGAATCCTGATCAGATTCTCTTGACTTTTGCTTTAACCTATGATATATAGAATCTGATTAGGTTGATAAAGCTCCTTCAATTGATAGGAGTGAATTGATAAAGCTCCTTCAATCTGATTAGGTTGATCAAATTCTCTTGACTTCTGCGTCTCACTTGGGTATGAAGAACCCTAGTTCCATGTTAGGGATCTTGCTTGTAATGACTTTTGGATGTTATACTAGGTGATTTTAATCTATTGAGGTACGTTTATTGAGTCAATTGAATCCTGATCAAATTCTCTTGACTTCTGCTTTAACCTATGATATACAGAATCTGATTAGGTTGATAAAGCTCCTTCAATTGATAGGAGTGAATTGATTGTACGAGAGTCAGTCAATTCACTGCTTTGTACTGGAATTCGTTCCAAGTAGTGGAGATTTGTGTGAATTGCCTTAGATTTTTACTCCGGTGAAGGCTAGTCAGCTGCTGGTTATTATGTCTAAGAGAGCTTGGTCAGCTTAAGAGATTCCAAACTATTTTTGGATCTTCTGTAGTTTAATCAACATGAAAGAAACCAAAAGGAATTACAACTTGGACCTAATTGAGGAGCTAGGGGGACTCATTCCTGAGTGACTCTTCTCTTGCTTTAGAAAACCGAAGAACTTGCTGCTTTCTTTTTGATTTAGTTAAATTCATTTTCAAATGATTTTTACCTCTAGATAACAAAATTACAGGAAGTAGATAGTAAATTTAGGATCCGGGTTGACAATTAAAACTGAACCCACTACACTGCATTTGCAGACTGCTATTACACTTGGTCGTAGTTTGGTGTTGTGTTTTAGTGAGTCAATGTTGTAGATGACCGTGATAATCTCCCCAGCGCGATCTCTGTCTTTTGTCCATCTTTGCTCCATTTTTGCCCTCTTTCATTCGACTTTTGATCCTCGAGCTAATTCCACCTACTAAGATCTGAACATACTAAAATACGCACAAACCTAGTGTAAAATTGCTCCTCATATGATGCGAATGCAACAAACATCACAAGATAAAGGGGTACAATTACACCCGAATCAAACTTTGACGTTTGCATGTCCCCAAGCAAACCAACCACACACGAGGTAATCTTTCAACCTATAACACAATAACTCGGGACATGTCAAAGGGCACAAAGTGGATGAATCTCAATGTCTATTAGGCACTGACATATGGATAACAGCAACAGTAATCCACGCAACCACCACAAATGACATTCAAATGCATTAAGACTGTGCAAATAAAGAGTTCTCACTTTGTCCGGCAACCAATACATAACTTGCCATGACAACTCACCAATCACAGTTACCCATGCATAAACAAACGATCGAGCAAACTAGATCCTCAATGGGATATATGATATGAACAAGATAAGATGAATGAATCACTCACTGTCGACTAGTGGGATCATGACCATTTTGATGCAAAAGATGTGCATACTCAAACACTAAGCCCTAATGTCTCTTCACCATGATAATAGCTTCTAAATGCTCAAGTTTACAAGATTGGTGTCACCACTAGCTTGTCCGAAAGTCTAAGACACGGGTTCAGATGACTGACTAGGGTC